TGGCTGTCCGTAACAGCAGCCAGGAAAGTGTTCGGGAAGTTAACGTTCGCCACCAGAGCAAGGTGCTGCTGGGCTTTGGACTCCAGCAGCCTCCCTCTGACCACCAGGAAATGCTCTCTTTCCTACTGGGCCGCCAATGTTTGCATAAGGAGAAGCTACAGGGAACGTGCGCACAGCGCCCGGCAACACTCACCCTGGCATTGTAAGCATCCAGCTGTGCGTCTAGTTCCTCTGCGGAGAGCTGCTGTTTGGAAGTTCTTCCAGCTCCTCTGCCTCTTCCTCTGCTCCCACCACGAGTACCTCGCCTGTTGCCTCCTCCACCACCAAATCCTCCTGAACCACCACGGTTTCTGGTCATGCCACCTCTGTTTACACTGTGATTTTTAAAGAGCAACCGGTTTAGTGCATCCCGGCTAACCCCAACAGGCACACAGAAGGCTGCGAGCGGGAGACGGATCCACGCTGCCTACAGGGCGGGGTCCAGCACGTTCCCGGCCCGTGCGGCATCTCACCTCTGTGCTGGTCTCCTCTGTGTGTCGATCTGTGACGTGACCAGCTGGATGTTCATGGGGCGCCCTGTGGGAAGAGCCGCCGTGAGCCTGCCTGTGGGACATGGCACACGGGCTGCTCCGGCTGGTGAAACACGTTAGGGAGGTGGCTACGCAGACTCACCGTCCAAGGGGACTCCATTGTACTGCTTCATCGCCTTCAGAGCGTCTGCCTTCCTCTCGAAGTGCACGTCTGCTGTCCCTAGGCTGCGGCCAGACCTGTCATAGTGCACAGCCGCCTTCTTCAAGGTCCCAAACTCTGCAAAGAGCTCCTGCAAAGAGGGAGAAGAGCGGGTGCATCCATCAGCACAGGGAGCGGCGCGCAGCCCAGAGACGGCACCGGCAGCTCCCCGCGCACGCCCGCTCTCAGTGACCATGGGCGCTTTTCAAAGCATCACCAACAACTCAGAAAAAGCACTGATGAAGGAGGGGAGCACGAGCCCACCAGAAGGATTTCAGAAACTCCCACAGGTGGCAAAACCACGCAGGACTTCACATCCCCCCCTTGCAGGGCACACGTTTAGTCAGTGAAGGAGACTGGGGGGAACCATGGGACTGTTTATTGCGGCTGAGTCGGTGAGGTGACTTTTTAAAAACAATCCAGACCCTAACCCATTCCACAGAGGAGGAACGATCTGTACGAGGGCAGGCATTCATGGGATGGTCACAGTTTTATTGTGATGGACTTTTTTTTTCCTCCCTTAAACCTTTATCAGACCAGGTGCAATTTAAAAACGCAGCCCATCAGGAACGTACCCCAAAAACGGAGATTAGGAAACACCCTCAACTGACGTAATTCACTGTCAGGACAGATGGAAATGAAGAGGCAGCCACAGAGCCACCAATTCTGTTTCACAGGTTTGATGTTTAGGAAACCAACAAGGACACATCACCTCGTGAGGTCCCACTGCGCCCAGCGCCTCAAGAGCTGAATGGCCCCAGACGCGCTGCCGGGCGCCCGGGCACAGGCCACTTTCCGAGGCTGCTGCTGCGGAGCCCGACGGCCACGCAGCTCTTGGGGAGCCCCTGCCCGAGCACGGCACGCATTCCTCCACTTCCTATGCAGGCAGCACTCCGGGCAGGGTTGCAGGCCAGCCCCCCCTGGGCTCGTTCACTGGACGCGAGCGTCAGCATAGCACTCGACAGCAGCGTTCTGGAGCAGAGCACAGCAGAGGCGAGGCGGTGCCCAGAGCCAGCTCCCGGTGTGCTGCGGGGAACACGGGTCCCTCCCCGGCAGCAAACGCTCAGGGAACAATGCCTACAGCTCCTCCGGCAGCAACGCGCGCGTTTCAGGCTCCCTCCAGCCACTCCTTCCTGGCCACACACTGCCTTCCCCACGCTGTGCCACGGTAATGACACCATTAGCATGGAAACAAAGAAAGCAATCACCACACCTGAGGCAGCACTAAATTATGGGATAGGTAGCAACAAATAGGTGCAAAGCCATTAAGTCAGCTTTGCTGCTTATTAAACCATCCACGGAAGTTCGTCCAGACCTCGGCCCATGCCAGTGGCAGAACAGGCAGATCCCAACGGCCACACAAGGCGCAGGAGCTGTCAAACTGGGGTGACTTTACAGAGCCACGTTTTACACATCAGGGCCTGACTACAATGAACAAGAAACTCATTTAAACTCAGTCTGAACTTACATGAAGAGCATAGGTGGTTTTAAGCACATTATCCAGTAACGAGGTGACCTGAAAAAGCTCGCTTCCCGTTCCCCAGGTGCAGCCAGACCAGCACATGGAGGAGCTGGAACAAATTCCCCGGGGAAGAAAGCACAAAAGCGGTTCGTGGTTTCTTCCTGGTGAGGACGCGGGGACCAATTTGAAACGAAGCGCTTTGCAGCGTGCCGGAGCCAGCAGAGCCCCCAGCACGGACACACATGGCATTCGCAGACATTTGTTCCTGCGCCACTCGCTGCCCACTCGTGACCGTGCCCTCACAGTGGGGGGGACACCACACCTCGACCCCTCCCAGCC